GATTTTCTAGTGTCATGACCGAGTTATAGAAGAACACATGTAATGTGAACATTTTTATATGCATAGGAAAAAAAGTATTGAAGAGAATCTTAACTATTAACAATGATTATGGGTGAGTTTGGGAGAGTAGGGAATAAATTGGGAGGTGAGTTTATATTGTCTTTTGAAAATATTTATTTAAACATATTTTCTTGTCACATTAAACTAGTCAGTTTCAAACTTTCTCATATAAAGAAAAATCTGATCATTCAAAAAGCTTTACGAAATAATTTAATGAGTAGTTTGTTTTTCAATGTATTTTTTAATCACTCAAAGCACAATGAAGTATCTCAAGAACATTGATCATGTGCAGGCTCCATCTCTGGGTGGTAAACCCTTTGCTGCCATCTTCTGGAACTTGATTACTAATGCATGCTATGGAATTTCTCCTCAAAAAGACTCCTCAGAAGAGATAAAGAAGGAATAATTACATTCTTACATGAACACAGTGCTAAACCAAAATTCACTTTTATGCATGGTGTTGATAATTTGTTTTATTCTCATTAACTTACAGCTGGCTCTGGACTTTTTTTGAGACTCCTGAAAGGGATGATCTTTTATAAAGAAATTCCCACTAAGTAATGCCTGGGATTTCCTCAATGCCGGATTTTAATTCCACAAAACTCATACACTTATAAATGCACACAATGATAACAGATAAAATACAACAATTCAATAAACAGTAATATGTAAGTAAGTGATTTTTTTTTAATCCTGAAACAAGATGTGTCTTAAAAGGAAGGTGCATAAAGCAAGAAGGCATCGAGAAATTCCACAAAAGTAGATGAAAGGGGAAGCTACACATGGAAAAAATGATCCATAGAAATACCTTATGCAGTGTGTGCTAATAGATCAGGAAAGAAAGAAAACACTAGATCAACTTCCTATGTAAGAATAATGCTGTTCTATATATGTGAGATGTAATTAAAGGTAAAGATTTCTTAAAACTTCAATAACATAATGAAGACTATAAAATCAGTCTTGTCTGGGACATTTCCAGGCAAAAATAATAATATTCTCTCAAACCTACCTGTGTCTTAAGACGTTATTAATATTGTACCTATCTCTTTCCCCTCACCACTGACTTCTGTAAAGATACCATCTCTCTCTGCCCCACTTCCTTATCTCCCGTTCACTTGTAGAAAATGTAATCATGCTTCACCTTCCTTCTCACCCAGCTGAGTGCTGGTAAACGTTTATTTAACTCTTGGTGGAGGGGCAGGAAGGAAGGAATGCCCTGATTTGTAGCACTGTAGCATTTGCCCATTTCAAATAATTCCACCATTGCCGATTTAAAGCTATCAATTTGATGTCAACGAATGCAGAGTTGGGACTGGCCGTGCACAGGGACTTTCCTGAGCAGGTGTGCCCTCCAGCGTACCTCCCTCTGACCCCTCTACTGAAATTGCTCTTATCTTGGGCGAGCTACAGAGCCCAGTGACCTCCTAGGGACAACTGTAGTTTGCTTCCGTATCTACTTGACTAATAGGCAGCATTGGGCACTCCCTTATTTGTGAACCATTCCCCTTTTTGGTTCTCCTAGTTCTCTGGTGGTTGCTTGCCTTCCTGTGCTAATTAAGACCTCTGGCCACACCCCAGTCGATGTTTCCCAGGGTCCCATCTTCTGCTCCCTGCTGTGCTCCCTCCCCTTATAATCTCAGCCTGACACCCACTCCCATATGTCAGGGCACCTCAAACTCAGCGACTCCCAGCCCAGCATGCTGCTGTTCCTCCTTGCTCTTTTCCTTCCCCTAGGACACATTCCTTTAGATAAATCTTCAATCATATTATTTGCAATATTTTTAAAATGTATCTATTCTTTTCCATGTTCTTGATCAGGACATGGGTCTTCTCACTCTCCCCCTTGCCCAATAGGCAGTGCACTCTGAACACTACCATCAGCTCTCTTGAGCTTAAAGAGATACCAACGCTCAACCACCTATAACCCCTGAGGATTAGGCTCCATACTCAGCTGATTTCTATTGCTTCAAACGTACTTCTGAGCCTTCCTTATCTCCTAAGCTCCATAATCAGCTCAAACTCATTTTCTCTGTGAACACTTTCTAGCACCACCGGGAAGAATTCTTCCTTCTCTCTTAAGAGCTTCTCCCTTTGTTCTTCTAAGAAGTAATTCTCAAAATGTATTATTATTATGTGTATACTCAGCCTTCCAGCCACCTCTAATCTATAAAAGCCCTACCAGGGACTTTAGTCTGATCTACCTTTGGAATCTCAAAATCTGACCCAGAATATGTTATTCACATGAGTATACTGAATGAATGAATGAGTGGGTGAAGGCAAAACTCAGAAATGAAAAGGGTATTAAATTCAAAGAATGTAGCTAGGCAAATTCTTCTTAAAAAGAAAAATGAAACAGAGAAAATGTTACATGAGCTACTGAAATTTTGTGCTGTAGTGCTTTAATTTTTTAAAGTATCTGTGAGCTTCTTTTGGAATGTTTCAAATATTGTTTTTCAGTTTAAAATGATATGTATTTATTATTCATGAGTTCATTCATTCAAAAAATCATACATTTATTGCCAACCATGCATTAGATAAAATATCATTAATTCAGATATTATATAATGTTACTATTAACATATACCAAGGCTCTCTGAAAATGTTAATATACCATATAAGATTCTACATCTTAAAAGAATAGTGGGAAGACATTGTGCTTTGGGTCTTGTGGAGAAATTAACCAGTTAGGTTAACTATCTTTGTTTACTGTAGCTTTGTAAGGCATAACTTGGTATAATCTTTTAACTATTATCATCTATTAATTAAATTGAAAATCAAAATGTAGTATGTCCTGTAAAAAAGGCAGAATCTCTTCTTAAGGGCTCTTTTCATATTTTTGTGAATTTTTTATCCTTTAATCATACCTAAATGTAAATATTAGCCCAATGAACAAGAAAAAAATAAACATATCAGGTATTTTTGCATGAATATAAATATTTCAACATAAGCAAATTAGTATTTCACATATAAGGAAAACATAGAAGCTGTCTTCTCACTGTGGCATAGGTACTATGTTGGAATCATCGTTGTCGATTAATAGCTTATATGGATCATAAAAATTAACAGTAACTGGTGAGGATGGAAAAATCTTTCTGTTAGGCAGAGACTCATTCAAAAATGTTTAGCAAATGTTCATCAAACTGAGTTTTTTAAACAAGTTGAACAATATATACTGAACATTTTTAAAAAGATGCATTGGAAATATTTTAAAAACTTTTTAAAACTAAATTATATATTCTCATTATACACATTTAGTTTTTAATACACTGATTTATTAAATCTATATCTCAATGTGCTTTGTTTATACCATAATTGAATAAGTGAAATATTAATAAATTTGTAGGGATATGGGAAAAAATGCCAGGTACAAGTTTAATTACTAGTCAGTGAATTCATTCAGGCAATTCAACTAAGATTAAGCTTTTTTTTGTAAATGAAAAATAGTCAAAATACATCTTAAAGATTTTAAGTGTTTTGAGGTTTTGTTTATTTAAGGATTACCTATGCTAATTAAATGATGTTGATTTGTATTACTTTAGCAGCACATGGTCCTCCCGCCTATTAGTTCATTTTGTTTGTTGACTGGTTTGATTTTAATCAGATTATCCACTAAGTACACGAAGAGGGAAACTTTACATTAAAGCAACATGTGAAATGGGCTTTCAGTTGTATGGACAGGAGTTGACTTCTCCCCAGGCCCTGTGGCTTAGCTGGATAAAAAGCAAATCTAATATTAACTGAATGTAATTCCAGGCACTCTTCTAAGTATTCCACCTGTATTATTTCATTCAATCTCGCGGCAAGCTTCAGGTGGCTATTACTACAATATTACCTCCTTCTTTAAGAAGAAGAAATTGAGGCATAAAGACCCTAACTTGACATCCACGTGTGTAGGGGAAAGGGCGCCAGGATTCAAACGTGCAGTCTGATTCCCGGGTCTGCAAACGTCATTGCCGTGCTATTTGGTCCTTTCAACTGACACTCCACTTCAGTTCACAGAATTCCATGTCCTAATTGTTGCTAAATCGAGGAATGTGCTTTCGCTCACGCAACTACTGCAGAAAAAGACCTGTACTCTCCGGGCAAGGGCAAGGCGCTCTAGGCGGGAGCTGGGCGGGTCGCGTCTCCTAGGCAACAGCAGAAACACACAAGAGGCCAAAAATGAGACACCCTCGCTCTCTTTGGATCGTTTTTCTTTTCTGTAAAGAAAAAAATCCAACCGTGCACTTAACTCTCTTGCATTCTTTCTGTGAGGAAGAATGTTCCATTGAAGTTGGCTTCCTGGTCACCTGTAAGCCGTTAAGGAAACGAATTAGATCTCTCTATCGAATGGCTTGAATGTGCATGTCTTTTTCCATTTTTCCCAACCAGATTGGTGATTCCTAAAATACAGAGGCAAGAAGTCCTGACCGCTAGAAGTAATGTGCAGCGCATTACTATTTATAATATGATAATGTTCATACATTGTTATATATACAGTGCACCCCTCTTCCCAGACCCAGGGAGGGTGATGTCATTTCCTTCGTCTGGGTGGTTGCCCAGTGACGTTTTGGGCCGAAGGGCAGTGCTGGGTACCCGAAATACCCGGCGGTGGTGAAGTCACTTCCTTCCGGGGACGCTGTTTCCTAGCAACCGCCTCCCAGCTCTATATTAGCCCCGCCCTATGCTCAGCCGGTGCCGGGTGTCCCAGCGCTGCCAGGCCCAGGCCAAGGCGAGAGGCTTTGGGCCGGGGGTCCTCAGGGTCGCGCGGAGCCTGCCGCAGGAGTGGCGAGGGTGGGTACAGACAGCGGGACTTAGGGACCGAAGAAGACCGGACAGAGACCTCAGCAGGGCGTGCACGGGCCTGGCGTGCACCAGGCGCTCACCCTGCAGCGCGGTGAGAAGCAGGCGGGGACGCCACCTGGCTAGGCCGGAAATGGTCCCCGGGGCGCGCGCTGCTGCGGGTGGCCCTGTGGCCGAGGCCCAGCCCTCCTTGCTCTGAGCAGGAGAAACGGCGATTTTCATGCAGCTGATCGCGAAAACAGAGTCGTTTTGTTTAACACAGTCCTGTTAACACTTTTGTGAGAGGGCAAAATGGCTTGTAAAAAAATATCGCTGGCTGTTTAGCATTATGATCTTTTTCTTTGAGTAATGCTATATGTAAACTTTTTTTTTTTTCTGTATGTGTGTGCTATTGGTGTTCATGATTTTTATGCTGACAGTCCTCTTGGTAGCCTTTTAAATAAGGCATGACTGTTTTGTAGGCAATATTATACTTTTTGAATAGAAGAGAGGTGGCAAATAAGGTATTTTGTTTTAATTGGCAACATTTTATTGTATTAACTTGTTGCAATCATTTATGTGCTGATTCTTAAAATAGTTGCAAAATTATTTTAGGATAACTTCCATTTGAATTTTCCGTTTTTGAAAACAAACTTGTGAGAATTTGATATTTCTTTATAAGTACTCTTTACATTTTTTTTTGAGACATTCTCACTCTGTTTCCCGGGCTAGTCACAGCCCACACAAACTCCTGGGCTCAAGCAATCCTCCTGCCTCACCCTCCCAAGTAGCTGGGACTACGGGTGCATGCACCATGCCAAGTTTTTAATTATTTGTAGAGATAGGATCTCTCTATATTGCCCTGGCTGGTCTCCAACTCCTGAGCTCAAGTGATCCTCCTGCCTCAGCCTCCCAGAGTGCTAGGATTACAGGCATGAGCCACTGCACCTGGCCTGTTTACATTGTTAAGTGAAGATGTAGCTCAATGTTCATATGGGATGCTTTTCTTATTTGGTTTGGCTTTTTGTGGGGCCACTAAGGGAGTGATAGAAATTCTCGAGCATGCAAAGAAGTCTGATTTGTTTTTTCTATATTTCAGCCACCAGCAGAGGTTGAATTATTCCAGTCATTTATTAGCTATTTTATAAAGGTAAAGAGAAAAAAAAATACGTGATGTCTGATGAAGTTTTTAGCACAACTTTGGCATATACCAAGAGTCCAAGAGTTACCAAAAGAACTACTTTCCAGGTAAAGCATTTCAAAGCATTTGTATTTTGAAGAATTTTACAATGTAAACACCGTGTTAGGAATGTTGGACTTGATGATTCTAGGAACAGTCCTATATAAAGCAGGAGTAAATTTTACATTTCTTTTTAGTTTTGTAGGTGATCAAGTTTGGGTTCCAGTATCACAAACCCTCTGTGTGGTTTGAGACTGCCAAAGTAGCTTCCCTACTACGCTCTTACTAAGTTAAAAGTTAAATAGCAACTTTAAATTGCTATTTTTATATAAAAACTACTTTTCTGTTGTAACATAATAATTTTCTCTGCAATTTTGACCTCAGCCTCTAAATTTGCGGTATGGATTATATCCATTTCGGCAATATGCTGAAATAAAAGCTCATAAAAAGTACCAGTTTCTTCCGAAATGCCAGTTTCAAATAAATCCTATCTAAATTGAGTCACTCCTTGCTTATTACTCTCCAGCTCTAATTATAACCTGCAATTAATTTATTTGTTATTGTCCATCTCCTCCAGTTTCATTGGGAGCTCCATGAGGGCGGGCTCTTTTCTGTAATGCTCTTCATTGAGTCTGAGGGCTCGGGTGCGTGGCATAAAGTGGGCTTGCAGTGAATGTTAGATGTGAAATCAGTTGTTAATGAAGCATTATTTGTTTAAAGAATTCTAAATACGAGACCTCCATATTTGGATGGGAATTGATTTTAATTATCTCATTTCAGGATGAGCTAATAAGAGCAATTACAGCTCGCTCAGCCAGACAAAGGAGTTCTGAATACTCAGAGGACTTTGACAGTGATGAGATTGGTATGTGACAGTACAGAAAAGTAAACCGCGTTTCTTCTTTTTGCTTCCCTAGTTTTATATTTAGGCCACTTCCACCCCCCATGATCACTTATGTTAAAATCATACCTATGAATTCACTACTTTTACATTTCAAACTTTTGAGCAGAAAGCCTCTCTTAATTTTCAAGATGTTGTTTGATTGTCCTTGGTTATTTCTGAGTGTGTATATGAAAACAGAAATTAATTGATGGCAGAGTTGCAGTAAAAAGATGGCTGTCAGTGGTAAACCACGTTGGAGAAGACAGGTCATTTTTAAGGTCAACTCAGGAGGCCCTAAGCTAGTCAGTCACTAGGGCCCACAGAACTAAACTTTGGTGCACATCAGAAGCACTTTTATAATGTTTGTTATAAATCAGGTATTTTTTGGCTGTAATAAGGGGTCAGTTTTACGTTTCATATATTAATACCATTAAGATTTAATTTGGTACCCTACAGATAATAAATGATTTGAATAAATTAATGAAATTGAATATTTCATAAATGCTGATGAAAACTGCCTGAATTAGTTGTTTTTTTAGAGCTCCAAATCTCTTTGTAAGGTAGATTTGCATCTACTCATTTTAGTATTAATAATTTAATTTCTAGTCCTTAAGGTAATGTTACTTTTTTGGTTAATGTAACCCTGACTTTTTAAAAATACTGTTGAAAACATTTTTTCTTTTTCATTTTTCAGTTTCCTTAGGTGATTTTTCTGATACCTCAGTAGATGAAAATTCATTCAAGAAAAAAGTGAATGATTTTCACATATCAGACGATGAAGAAAAGAATTCTCCAAGACTGTCTTTTTTGAAAACCAGGAAATCAAACAGCGACATAACCAAAGATGAGCCAGTTTGCACTACCAAAAATGATGAGGAAATGGCACCTGATGGTTGTGAAGACGTAGCTGTAAATTCCTTATCTGAATCTCAAAATAAAGACCAGGACATTGAAAAAGAGAAAATTAAAGTGAGGCCTAAACCCAGAATTCTTCCAATCAAAATCTTATCTTCAGGTAATTTGTTAGATTACTGTAATTGCATTTCTGGAAAATTTGTTTTCCAACAATCAGTCACAATACCTTTAATATGGTAGCTGGTATATATTTAAGAAAAAATATGACTTTTCAATTTTATAGACATAAATCAAAATAATATAACTACAGAAAAAACCCATAATTCTGATGTCCAGTTGTATATTTGGTCATCCATAGTTGCAAATCCCAAAACACCTAGGCCTGTGAGCTTCAATTTTATTTTTGGATGTGGAACTGGAATGGAATCCTCTCTAATACCCCTCACACTCTGGAGATTAGTTGTAGCAGCATTGGGACTAATCCTTAAAACAATCAATTCCATACCAACATTTTGCCAGAAAATTTTTTTGACATTTGTATGTTCAAAGGGGGAGTTTTGTTGTGGTGATGGTTTGTTGAAGCCTCTAGGCTCTCCTTGAGAAAAGAAAAGACCATTTCATCTCTCTGTTATCTAGGAAAATTCTGTAAGGTTCAATTTTCCACGGGGAGGTTCTGGTGTGATCTGGGATTACAGTAGTTCTCTCCACAATTCTACTGAGCTTACAGAGCAACAAAGATAGAAAGAAGCAGGGACCAACCCCTCTGAAGTGTCCTGGGCCACCACACAGGAACTTGTGCATGGGAGCTTAAGCATTTGGTGTCTTTCAGTGCTCTTTCTTTCTGTTTTGTAAAGGAAATATTAGTCGATGTTAACCTTCTTAAAAATTTCCTTAAGTTATATTATCAGTAAATATAGTGCTGGTAAATATTTCATATTGTGCATATTAGATATCACCGGTAACATCAGACAAAACTTTATTTCAGGCAGGTATTAGGGAACCACCTCCCCCACAATCCCATTAACTTTGAGTTGAGGAGAGGATATAAGCAAAGACACTAGAATAGCATCCAGGACACTAGAGGTAAAGCCACTGTATATTAATTATGCAAGACTTCAGCAAATAGGTTAGGTCTCACTCTTGTCATGAGGAGGAGGATAAAGTGTCCTCTTCTTGTCTGACAAAATTGTTTTGAGAATTTATTGATGTATATCTCATAAACCATAAAATGCTACAAAAGTGCAAACCTGAGGCATAATAAAGCAGAATTAACTTGCTAAAATGTACCTTCCCAGTGTAGTGAGTGAAACCAAAGACAGAGAGAAGGGGAACATAATTGAACTTGGTTATTAAGAAAATGTGAGCATATAGCAGCTAAAAATTGATCTAAAACAGATGGATGTATATAATTAGAAATTTATGGTGGATAATCAGTAAAGCAGTAATAATCCACCTATTTCACATCTTTTAAAAAAATCTGTGGTGAATTAAAATGACTAAGGAAATACTGTATTTTAACCACTAGGTGGCACCAGAAATGTAAGTGCTCTGCTTAGTTATATATGCAATATTATATTCAGCATGTGTAACATAAAAATAATTGTTAAATAGGTAATCTTACACATTTGATTACAAAACAAAGCATTTTTAAAAAGTATAGGCTTTTTTTTTTCTTTTGGAAAACTTCATAATTCTTCTGGAAGTGAAATTTTGGAATAGAATATATTAAAGGCATTATTCCCCAGTTCTTCAGGTTGAAGAATAAAAATGTAGGCTAGTGGTACCAAGACAATGCCTGGAATATGAAGTTCATTAAGTATTTAAATGAATATATGAATGATTTATTTGTGACAAAGGAAACGTGGTTCACGAGTTTAGCTTTATCTAAATTCTTTGACTTTTTTTAATATAGTGTTTGGAACTCAATGTTTTTAATGTGGTGAGATATTTCTGAGTAGCAAGTAATTACCTATAAAAATATTAGAACTTGAAGATTTTCTCTGTTCTTTTGTAAAAAGTCCAATAACCAGATTTTCACTTTATAGAACAATTGTCACATGAGTAGTGATTATAGAAAGTATTTTTTGCAGGGTATGTTTTTATTTTAATATTAAAATGACTAAAGTCATGAACTTTGGAGTCAGGATGCTGCTGCTTTAATCCCAGATCTGCAGTTTACTAGAGTTTGTGACCTCGGGCACAAGGCCTCTTTGTTCCTCATTTTATTCATCTTTAAAATGGGGATAATAGTTGAACCACCTCTATAGTTTTGAGGCAAGTAAATGAATTCACATATTTGAAGTGCTTAGAACAGTATTGGCATAAATTAATCTATAAATGTTTTGATAATTTATTTTACTATTTAGCATTTTTTTATAAGCAGATCATTTTATTTATCTACATATATTTAATGTGAATACATTATGTTTTATTTTGTTATAAGCACTGTGACAGTAACTACATCTATGACACTGAAAAGACATAGTACCAGAAAGGTATAGTGAGAACACAGAAAAGTGAGCACATAAATTTACCTGAGGACATCAGGGAAGCCTTCCTAGAGGAGATGGTGATAATAATAGTGAAAATAGTAGCTATAGTCAGGACTCTTGGTTGAAAGTGACCCACCTTAGACAAACATAAGTAGAAAGGGGACTTCATGACCTTATTGAGGATGGATATCAGAAGGCCTTGCTTTAAGTGTGATTAAGTTTAAGGACTCAGTGCTTTTACGATGCTGTCTGAATTCTCTCTTTTGTCGTCTTTACTTCTGCCTTGACTCCTGACCCACTCATTCTATCCCCTCAGCCCTAATCACTTATCTCTTGGTCCTATTTTTCTGTCATTTGGCCTCTTTTTCTCAGACAGTCCTTCATATGGCAGGAGAGAAAGCCACTAATAGTCTCCAAATCACATCCTTCTAGCTCCATGACCTTAAAGGTACATCTTCTAACTTGAAATGTTAATAGAAAAATACTGATGCACTGGCCCGACCTTTGGACCACCTGCTGTGGACAGGGGAATTGAAGTTCCTGTGATAAGCTGGGGGTGGGGTGCATCCTGGGCCCACCCTACTCACTGGATATGGAGGAGATATTTGTTAATCCAGCAAAATCACATGGATGGTGTGGAAGAGAAACTACCCCAAAGAAAGCAGGAGTGATAAACAAACCAAAAAAGAAAATCGAAAAAGAAAAAAATGTTTACCACAATTGTCAGTGTTCATTGAGCGTTTACCGTGTATCAGGCACTGTGCTGTGCACTTTGTATAATTTCACTCAGGTCACAGAGGCAGCTTAGGAGCTCCTTGCTAATTTTATCAATGGGAAAACCTCCAAGGTGTGTGGAGGTTAAATGAATTGTGTAAGGTTCAGAGCCCAAGGTTCAGATATGAGATGTCTAAAATAGTCAAGCTGATAGAAACAGAGAGGAGAATGGTGTTTGCCAGGGACCGGGAAGAGAGGGAACCGGGGAGTTGCTGTTCAGTAGGTATAATCTTTCAGTTATACAAGATGAGTAAGTTCTAGAGATCTGTTATCCCCAGCGCTCCCCAACCTTTTTGGCATCAGGGTCCAGTTTCATGGAAGACAGTTTTTCCACAGACGGGGGCAGGGGCTGGGGGGCATGATTTCAGGATGATTCAGAGTATTACATTTATTGTGCACTTTATTTCTATCATTATTACATTGTAATATATAATGAAATAATTATACAACTCACCATAGTGAAGAACTAGTGGGAGCCCTGAGCTTGTTTTCCTGCAACGAGACTGTCCCATCTGGGGGTGATGGAGACAGTGACACCCAAAGTGTGTCACTTATGTCCAGTCTACTCCATAATCTCATTTTGGCTGCTGTCACTGCAGAAAACCCTGCTTCACAATGATAAGATATCGGAAATGCAAGCAGGCTTTTCAGTGCTTTTGTGTCAGTGTCAGGATATTCCACCTTGACTTTAATCCAGAAAGGTGGAGATTTGAAGTTGTCTCAAACATACTTTTCAGGCCATTTCATTTGTGATCTCAAGCAGTTGATCCTCTTCTAGCACAGGCAAAGCCGATTCACCTCGCTTATTCACAGATAGGTCAAGGATCCATTCCTTCCCAGTTCCGTGGTATTTTGTGCTGCGGAAGTAAAGCTCAAACTCTTCTGAAAGCTGAGATAGGTGATCGTGCACCAGCTGCGAGAAAGAAAGCCCTGGCTAAGGCTCTTTCAAAATCTCTGCTAATGTTCGAAACATGTCAAAAATCCCAATGTTCACTCATCACCCCCATAATTCCAGTTTCACTTTGAATGCAGCCACTTTATCTGTGAACTTGAACACAGTTGTCCTTGTCCTCTGAAGTGACAGATTTTGTTGAGCAAGTTGAATATGTCACACAAGCAAATTTTGTGACATTCTGTGTCACTGAAATGTGCTACCCGTGGTGACTGTTTTTCTAAAAGAAATCTCTGGAGTGGCTCTCGTAACTCAGAAACTCTGGCCAGTGATCTACCTGTAGAAAGCCATCTCACTTCTGTGTGTAAGAGAAGACGTGTGTGCTCTGGGTCCATCTCCTCACAGAGCTGCATGAACAGATGTGAGTTAAGGGCAGGTATTAATATTTTAATGTGGTTGATAATTTTAATCACATCCTGTAAAATGTTGTTTAGTTCAGGTGACATTTTCCAGCTAAGCCAGCATTTCTCTATGGATGACACAGTGCATAGACTCAAATTCAGAAGCGACCTCCTTGACCCGAGTAGTGAAACCAGAAAGCTGTCTGGTCAGGGCAGCCACTCCCATCTGTGCATGTACCAACACAAAATGACCAATACAATTTCTTGATATGTGATCATTGAAAGACTTGAATAGTTCTGCAGCTGTGGTGTTGGTTGGCAACAAAAGTGCACGTAACATATCCTCACGCATGTCCTCCTGAAAAATATATTGCACAAAAACAAGCATTGTTGCTTTGTTGTCAACATTGGTAGACTCGTCAACCTGGATTGTGTACCACAGTGACTCATTAATCCTCCCTATCAATTGTGCCTCAATATCCTCTGCTATTTCATCAGTTCTTCTAGTTACGGTGCTAGCCGAAGAGGAACACGTGCCACCTTTTGAACTGCAGCCTCCCCTAAAAGTTCACAGCAAATGTCCTTAGCAGCAGGCAGGATCAACTCTTCACCAATAATAAAGGGCTTCTTAGCTTTAGCAATTCGGTTAGCCACTAAGAATCATGCTCTCAGTGTAGACACATTTGATGTAGAGGTAGCCTTCAATAATTGCTTCTGTTCTTCGTATTTGTGTTTTTTTTCTTTTAAAAAACTCCAAAGACTTGTCTTTTAATGCAGGGTGCTTGGTCTCCATGTGGCGAAGCAGTTTCGAAGGTCTCATGGCTTTGTTGGGTAGCCAGTTACCACATATTATACAAAGCGGGCTTGGAGAATGTGAATCAACTGTTGCGATGAACCTATAATTTAAGTAGGATTCTTGGTATTTTCTTTTGAATGCAGCTTTCATTTTGCTGGCAGTCTCAGAGTCTTTTGCTATCTCATCATTGGGTTTTTTCCCCGTTTTCAAAGAAGCTCTCCAGCGATGTTTGTTCTTTACTCATTTTGATAGGGTTAGCTGTGGGCTTACCAAAACCGTGACTGAGACAAGTACACAGTGCAGGCAGAGGCACGGATGGAACTGGTACATAAAATAAAGGGCGGGCCACACACAGACTAAAATAAGCATTGGATTCTGACTTAAAGCCTGCCACCAGATGCAGCAGCTTAATTGTCACTTGCCACTCACTGATAGGGTTTCGATATGAGTCTGCAAGCAATTGATTTATTATGGTCTCTGTGCAGTCAAACCTCTCTGCTAATGATAATCTACATTTGCAGCCGCTCCCCAACACTAGCATCACCTCCTCAGCTCCATCTCAGATCATCAGGCATTAGATTCTCATAAGGAGCTGCAACCTAGATCCCTCGCATGCGCAGTTTACAGTAGGGTTTGTGCTCCTGTCAGAATCTAATGCCCCGCTGCTCTGACAGGAGGCACAATTCAGGCAGTGATGTGAGTGATGGGGAGAGGCTGTAAACACAGATGAAGCTTTGCTCCCTGGCCTACTGCTCACCTGCCATGTGGCCCAGTTCCTAACAGGACACGAACCGGTACTGGTCCACAGCCGGGGGTTGGCAACCATAGTGCTGTACAACATTGTGTCTACAGTTAACAATACTGTATTTTGCACTTAATGTATTAAGAGGGTAGATTTTATATTAACTGTTCTTATCACAATAATAAGAAAATTTGACTCAACACCTTCTTTCAGGAATTATACAATATTCTGCTTAAACTGAGGCTCAAAAGATATACAAGCATTTTTCAGGAGGAGCAGGAAGCAGACATTCTAGGCAGAGGGATCAGCTGGGGTAAAGGTATGGTAGCAGGAGGGATTGCAGCATGTGTGCAAAATGACTGTTAGCCCAGCATTTAAGGAACACAAATTACAACATACCTTTGCTAGTAGACAAGGCAGCACAGGTAGCCAGGAGCAAAACCATGGAAGCCTTTTATATTGTTTAAAGGCAATTACGCTTTTATTCTGTAGGACTGGATCATGAGGGAACCATTGAAGACTTTTGTGGAGAGGAGTGATGTAATCTGATTTGCATTTTGTAAACATCATGGAAGCAGTAATCTAGGAAAGAAGGGGCAGGGAGCTGACAGTGGGGATGTGGAAAGTAGAATAAATGAGAGAGCTCAAGTAGAATCAATAGGATATAGTGTTGCTTTGGATATAGGGTAGAACAGAGGGCAGAATCTAGGACTCCTCTTGGATTTGGGGTTGAACTTTTGGCCAGAGTTAAGGACATAGCTAAGGTTATGAAGGAAACATTCATAGTGGTACCTATTTGGTATGTTTATGGAATATTCTAGTAGCATTCATAAGCCCATTTATAGGTAAAGGGGGAAAAGGTATTAATGAGACCAGTTTTGAAGTTTTAGAAGAATGCATTTGTAGAACAATAGAGAAATAAATATGTAGAACAGATAAAATTCAGACAATAAATATGTAAGTGGAAAACCTTCCCATCAATGTTCCAAGTGCTGGATGCATACCAGTATTAGATTCTAGTGTTAGGAGCAATGGAAATAGTAACTGAAATTTTAATAACTGGTAAAGTAGTTCTATGGACTCAAAGAACGATAACTCATAGAATCATCTCGTTCAATGTTTCTTCCTCCAGTGAGAATTAGCACTTCTGTCCCCTGTGTGCCACCGTCATCTTCATACTTGTAATAGCACTTACCTTTGTCTTATAATTTTGTTTAGAAAAAGCAAGCTGCAGAGTCCTTGGACAGTTCCATTGTCGCTGTCTTGGTGATGAGGTTCAGTACTGTGTACGAGGCCTGGTATCAGGTACTCAGTAAAGGTTTGGTGGATGAACCTCTTCATTTTATAGAGGTAGAAACTGGGGCAAGGTTTTATTTTCTTTGTTTTTGTTTTAAAATGTTTTTGAATACCATAAGAGTTTATAAAGTTGAAGAGTTAATTTCTCACAAAATTAAAGTATACTAGATGTTATTTTCAGGATGGCAACTATTTTTTTTACTTTGATCGTTAACTATTATTTATTTGTGCCTTATTGGAGCTCTGTATGGAGAGCAGTTGTGGGCTTCATCTGGACTCGCCAGGAGAAAGAGCCAAGGGGCCTGGGCACAGGAGGGAAGTATGGTGGCACCCTGAGGGGTAATTAAAGCCATGATTTTTTTTTTTTTTACACACACATCTTAAAGCATTTTATTTTTCAGCAGAAAACAGCAGCAGCTTTGAAACAGATGATCATTTTAAACCTTCACCTCGTCCAAGGAGCATGTTAAAAAAGAATAGCCATGTGGGAGAGAAAGATAGTCTAGAGGAAGACAAAAAAACTACCCTCAATGAAGAATTAGAATTGCATTCTGCACCTTCTTCCCTTCCAAGGCTAAATGACAGACAATTAGAAGCTGAGAAAAAAGCATTCTCTGAAAACTTTGCTCCTGAGGTAAGCACTACCGCTCAACTGTTGAACTGTGGTCTTGAATGTAGGCCTTTGCTCTGATTATGAGAGAGAGAATGAATTTATGTGCACGTGTATGTGTTTTACATGTTTTCTTCTGCAATTAATAAGGAAATAATTTTAAGTTTTGTTTAATATACTGTATTCCACTGAGTCTAAAACTCTATCAGTTGTAAAATGTAGCATTATTTCATGTACCACTAGTAGTTGTGTTATATTTTTAGTAGTTATTTAGAATTGATATTGTATTATTTTGTGTTTAATATAGAAACCTTGCAACAGTATAGTTCCATATACTCCCTCATCCATTGTACTATTGTTGTCATATATATTACATCTACAGATGATATAATCTCCAAAATACAGTTATAACTTTAAAGGGTCTTAAATTCTTCGTATTAAACTTTTTTAAAGAATAAATATTTATAGAT